GGAAACCACTTGTAAAGGTTACAAGCAGCCTTCTTCCTGAGTTCTGCAGAGAAGTGCGTGGTCTCTCAGATATATTAAAACAATTAACTCTTTATGAAACACTTTGCTTTCCTAGCTTAACATCATACTCTCCTTATGGTTTTCCTCTCTTTTTACTTCACATTTCTTTCCTGCTTGCTCTTTCTTGGATACCTAAATACCTTGGAGGGATCTTTCCTCTATCTATACAACTTTCCTGATGACCTCATCTAGTCTCAAAGGCTGTAACACCATTTATAAGCTAGGAACTCCCAAACAGATACAAACAACCCAATCTGGTCCCTGGGTTTCAAATTCAACTACCTAACAACTTCTTCATCATTTCTACTTGTTTATCTAAAAAACATTTCAAATGTCTCAAATCAATTCTTGATAATGCACACATACATGTATACACACATGTGTGTGGACATATTCTTTCATCCTCCAAATCTGAATACATTGACCCACCATCTATGAAGCGTTGACTACAACACATAGGCACCATCCTTATCAGATTCTTCTGTCTCCCGCACTCTCACAGTCTATGCTCCAGTTCTCCTGCCTGCTCTCCTGCTTAAAACTCTCCATGAGTTTTCCATGGCATCTAAGAATAAAAATTCTAAGTCCAGCATCTTATCCCACCTTCACCGTTGTCCTTTATTATCCTCTAGCCACCTCAGCTTCACTGTTCTTCCACTACGTCACTCCAAACCCCTCCGAGCTCAGTGACTTTGCACTCACATCCCCTCTGCCTGGAATGTTTTCCCATGAACTAACGTACAACTTGCTCCTGGTTATTATTCAGGTCATCTCCTCTGCAGATAGCACAGTGCAAGTAACGCACTCTCCCTCCCCTCATCAGTCTCTGTTTTCATCAACTTGTTTTATTTTTTATATTTGATTATTTTTTGAAATTATCTTTCTTATTTATTTCTTTAATGTCTCCTCCCTTCAGTTAGAAAACAAGCAAACACACAAAAAAGCACCCCTAGGGGCTGGGGATTTAGCTCAGTGGCATAAGCACCTGCCTTGCAAGCAGGTGGTTGTGAGTTCTCTGGTACCGACAAAAATTAAAAAATTTTTTTTAAAGAAGCACCCCTGTAGGGCAAGGTCTCTGCTTACTTAGCCCTAAATCCCTATCTATCAGGCTCATGAGAGACACTCAAATATTTATTGATCGACTGATTGAATGAACAAAGGAAGGAATCATGGTGAACCTGTAAGGCACTTACTGTGTGGATGACCTTTAAACAAGCTATTTAATTTCCCTAGGCCTCATGTTTCTCATGGAATATAAAAATTCTGCACAGAGCTATTTTGATGGGAAGTGGAGAAAATGATAATTAACTATGAAAATAATTACTGACCTCTCCATGCCAGTCATTATGCTTCATGACCACATTTTGAGATAATATAATCATCTTAATTTTATAAAGAAGCTAAGGCCTACCAAGATTTACAAAACCCTCGTCTCAGAGACTGTAAGTGGCAGAGCAAAGATTCATTTTGTAGGATGACTGATTCAGAATCCATGTTCCTGTTATTCTATATCCAGCACATAAGAAGTACTCAACAAATAACAGTTATCACTGTTAATCAGATTGTAGATCAGGAAGTGCCAAGCATTTTTTGTAAACAGCCAGATGGCAAATACTTGAGGTCTTTCAGGCCTTATGGTCTCTGTTACAGCCACCACAGTGCAGAAACAGTGCCAGAAACAATATGTAAATGATTAGATGTGTTCTGTTAAATTTCACTTGCAAAAACAGACAGCAGGCCAGAGCATATCTTAATGATCTCTGTTGTAGATCAGCAAGAATAACTAATGATAAGAGATGTTCAGTTTAGGTTCCATGAAAGTCCATTGCTAAAACATAAAAGTATGTACAAGTAATCTCATGTTTGTTTTAAAAAAGCCTACAAGATTAACACCAAAATGAACACTAATTACCACTAAATGTGAAATTACTAGTAATGACTATCTTCTTTTAAGTTGTTTATGTTTTCCAAAGTTGCCTGTAGTGCAAATGTCTAGCTTCTAAGGTACAACAGAATTTGCCAGAAATTCAGCTCTACCTCTTAAGTTAAAAAGATGACAATATCAGTACTAACAAAGATGGTGACTTATTTGATCCAAACAGCATAGACGTTCTGTGAAAACCCTTTGAACTCTTGACTCCGTAGAGCTGTTAGGTGGCATTAGATCATTTGCCATTTACTCTTCTGCACAAGCACAGGTTGTACTGGGACAGAAAGAAGAGGGCAAGATGACAGTGGCTGTGTGAGATAGTGGTGATTCCCAAAAGTGAAAGAAAGGGAGGAATTGAGAGACTGGCCTGACAGCAGAGATACTCTGCCTGGAAAGTCAGTGGACACCTTCCGCCCTTTATACTGCAATCAGCTGCTCAGCGCTTCTGAGTTTTCTTTCAGGAATTCAGAAACATCAGCAAATCAGAATGAGTTTCACATTTTAGAGTAACAGTAGACAGAAACTACTGAAGGCATTTATCATTTATGTAGGTAATAATGAAATCTGGGCTTCTGATTGGCTCAATTCTTTTAATTTGTCTCTGTTGCTTCTGTCCTATTCACTGAATCATTCTGCTAGTGCACATTTTTCTTCTTCTTATATTTGAATTTTCTGGGTGACCCAAACCTATTTAGAATCCAATAACTTTTAATAACAACAGTTTTGTGGGCTGCTCATTAATTAATTAATTCTATAAATATGACTGAATGCCTGCTATTTGAGATAATTTTTCTCAGCTACGTTCCTTCCCTATTGAACAGCTCTGCCTCAGGTCCCTTGAAGCCTTCTTAGATGAAGCCTCTTGAGACTGAGCACTCTGGTCAGTTTTTCTGCTCCAAAGGCTTCAGTACTTTTTCCATTTTCCCAAACACTAGGTACTGCCCTGAGTTCCTACACAGCTCTCGAACAGCAGACGTCTTGGCCTTTCCTCTTCTCCAGTGTTTCACTGTCATCTCGTGATGAGTGCCACCTAAAGAATTTATTTAAATCTTACATAGGAAGACAGGGCCAGAAAATGTTCCTTCTTCCCATAGATCTTCCTTCGTCCTCAAGATCTCAGGAGCCACTGGATGGTTCCTGCCTTCCTACGGATCCTGTTCTAAGGCTTCATCAGGGGAACTGGAGTTTCAGTCTACTAGTTTATAAGAAAAACAAACATTAGGAGCTTTCACGGACAAGGCCATTTAAACCAAGATGATAATGTCCATTGTGATGCTCTTTGACACAAAAGATGCTTGTCAAGAAAAACACATTATTTAGATTTTGGTTTCTTACAAAAGAGAAAATAAAGACAGCTTTCAGGTGTATAACAATTTGACTTTCAGGATTTGGGTTTTTTTATGTGAGTTTGTATTTAATTAGAAATACTGACAAATCAATGGGAACATGGGATGCAACAACTGGCCTTCTTTGTTACATATCTTGTTTTGTTGTGCTCATTTTAAGGAAGATTTGAAAAAGGTCCAGGCAAAAGAAATTATTAAAATCTAAGGAAAGCGTTTCAAAGCCCTCCCAGCTACCACCCAGAGGAAATGGTTATGTGTTTAGATGTTCAGTGTTGGCTGGATAGTGGAGGGAATTTTTAAAAATTGATCATTAGGTCTTTGGCTCTAGAAATAAATGAAGTAAGCTCTTTGCATTAACAGAATGAATTGGTAATTTCTCATTTAAAAAAATATGGATGCAGCTGTAGAATGAAACATTGCTTCTGCTCAAATAGCAGTTCCATGCGATGTATATATAGCCAGGCAAGAACACTGAAGCCATCTTTGCTTGCCCAGTGCAAATGTAGGCCATGCTGACTCGGACACTGTCCCAGGGAAAACTTGATGGGATAGCTGCTATGACTGAGGGAACATAGCAATTTTCTTGGTTTTATGTTCCTTTTTGCGATATCTGCCAAAATTCAAACCATGAAAACTACCAACTGTATTGATTGGTTCTGATAGTGACCTAGAATCTCACTGCTTTTTTGGTAAGATCTATTTCTCATTAATGTTAAATATTTTGTGTGTTGTCTGATCAATTCTATTCAACCCTTAAATATCTATTATGTGTCAGTTATTTTTAAATTCACAAAATGCCAAGACCACTTCTTCAACGTGCTAATTGCTACCCTCCGATACATCAGCTCTCCACACACTCTCAGTGTTTCTCATCTTCTCTCCTGCAAAACACTGGAATGTGTAAAAACTACAGCCAGGTTTTTGAGCATAGCTGGTTGATGAGGTACTTAAGGCCACAATGATAATGAATCTCCCAACGGTGCACCAAAACCATGTCACAGAGGACACATCTTTGCCACTTTCAACAGAGCCATTATTAGAATACCAACCCACAGCAATGTGAGCACATTTCCTGCCATTTTAGGTTCTTTAAAGGAAGTTGTAACCAGGTCCATAATACACAATGCCCTTGGGGAGAAACAGATTCAACCTCAAAAGCAAATCATTGTTCAACTACACATTTTCAAAAGTTGTGGAAATAAAAAAACCACAAAGATGAGATGGAGTAGGAAAAGTTGTTTCAGGCTCTTTGTATTTATTTATAATAAATAAAAATGTTTAAGTAAAATCTTACATTTTTCTTATACTATATTCAATAACTTTAGAGACAAGACAAATCTGAGATAATCTGAAATGTAGGCAAGTCAAAGAAATAAAATCCAGCACAGGACCCTAATGAGTAATAATAATGAATATCCTGACACCTTTATTCTTTTAACAACCACATTATACAAAGGAAATCCTATCCTTCTTAAGTCTCGGTCCATATCAGCGACTTTTTACTACCAATGAAGCTTCCTATTTCAGGAGAGTTATCTTAGTATGATAGCATTTCTTAATAATTAAGACAAAGTTTAAACAAACACCAAAAAGGTGAAATCACGATAGCAAACAGTGACATTTCTCAGAAACAAAAACTTGATATTGGAAGCTTGGCTTCTTACCTTCAAAGAACTGTTGCAGGGCTTCATTTTCACCCACCACATCCATGATGCCTTGGTGGCAGTAATATTTCCTTTTAAAACAAAGGTTACCGAACCTCAGGAAGTGACTGCCGTCCTCTCGGCTCAAACCCTAGGAGTGCTCTTAAAAATCATTTTCTTTTTATTGGAGTAAAGCATATCTTTAGCCATTGATTTGTCCCCAGAAAGATGGTTAAGTTCTCAAATACGATTATAAAACCAACAGGATCTGCAACTGTACAGAAAAAAACTACAAAGAGGGAAGTGGCAGCAAATTCATCTCTCTTAATGCAGGAAACTGTTTCTATTTTGCCTTATGTCTTTGTTTTAAGAACCTTTGTCCTTAGTGACACATATAATTACATAAATGGGCAATAAATACAGACTCTTATCTCTATGTGTCCTTTTACACCAATATATTTATATCTCTACCTTTATCAACCAGATCCATTTAGCCACTACCAAGATTTTCTTTAATAAAGAAAAAGGAGCAAATCAATATAACCATGTATACAAACATAGCAAGTAATTTTAAAAGACGTGTGACAATGAAAATTTAGGATTTGTTCAATATTTCCAAGTTGTATAGCAAGAACTTATGTTCTTCAATATACACCAACTCTTTCCCCAGAGTTTTCCTTTAAAAGTATCAGCCAAGTAATCAAAGTCTCTCTAAATACAACAAAGACTGCTTTATTAATTTAATAAGGATTACAACTGAATGTATTTCATTGATAGTAGATTTTACTCCAAAATATACAATTAGATTCAAATAAATGATTTTCCCTGCTTAGCTACAATTTATTTAATAACATCCTAAGCAGAATGCAAGTAGGAAACTAGACTTTCTAATCTCTTTCTAGTCCCTTTTCTCTTTTATTTTGGAAAATTTAAGAATCTGCAGAATAATTGAAAGGATAATATCATGAAATACCCATAAACTCTTTACTAATTACTATCTTTTTCTGTCTGTTTGTTTGCTTATTTTTGGTACTGATAATAGAATTCATGACTTTGCACTTGGTAGGCAGGCTCTGTGGCACTAAACTATATCTCCAGCCTCTAATTATTATCTTGACACATTTTCTTCTTCTCTTCATCTATAAACATTCTAAGTTTTCTCCAAGTCACTTGAAAATAAGTTGCTGACATCTTGCTATGTCACCCCTAATAACTCAGGGTAGCTCTCCTAAGATTGAGGCCATTCTTCCATACAACAACATTATTGTAAATATAACATGTAACATGTAAATATAGCATGAACTTAATACTATCATCTCATATAAAATTTCCACCATTTCCAAAAATGTATTTTTTAACATTTTGTTTTCTGATCAGAATGTTCATGCACTGCCTTTGGTTGTATCTTTTTAAAATACAGAAAATTTACCTTATCACTTTTGTTGACTGGTTTTTCATTATTGATTTTTTAAATTTTTTTTAGAATTTTTTAAAAAATTTTATTTAAGGAGAAAAAAAAGCAGAGATAGGGTACAAGTTATACAGATTTCCAGAAAAAAATAAACAGTAGGAAATCACTAGTTAATGGATTACATATTGTCATCTTAAAATAATTGTTCAAGTTACAAAATTAAAGCTTGTAAAGTGGACATTCCAACAGTGAGACTGCAAACAGTTCTGTTCAATGATCCAACAAAACTCAGTGATATCATTATCTATCTTATACACTTAAATATACATGCAGTTATATCGTTTAGAGCACTTTCTTTTCCTCTCTTTTGTACAATGACAATTACACATTTTGGGTTTTATTACTCCTACAGTTCTTATTACTTTTTTGGAAGGGAGTAGAACCAAATGTGACATAACAGAACAGAGTCAATCAAATCAAAAGGGTGGACATAATAGATAATGTAAAAGCATAATACAAGGTGATCAACAATGGTTACCATAATGCCTCCCGCTATCTCTAATAGAATTGCCTATATCATCAGTTATAATAAAATTGAACAAAATAGTAAAGAACAAAACCGACAAAACCAAAACATTGGAGACATTATAGGTCTTCAAAAGTAGATAATAGTCAACCAGAATGGGCGTCATAATGATTCTCACTATCTTCATAGCTGTTGCCTAAACTTTTGAACCTGGTACTATCAAGCAAAACAGAATAGGGGGACATCAGTCAAAAACAAGATGGTGAGAGTAATACAGGGCTTTAAATCAAGATAATGGAAAGTCAAAGTGGGTTACTATAATATATCCTGCTATTTTTTATTTATTTTTCCCTTAATTAAAAGGATAAAAATAAAAAAGTAAATAATGAAGTAGAGATTGAGATAAAAGAGAGCATAACAGCAAAACAGCACAGATCAAAACTTAACCATTTAAGCAGAATAGTGTTTCACCACAAGATAATCCTGACATAAAAGTAGTTACCATATTGTCTCTTTCCTTGAAATCTTTGAGTATAACTTCATATACTGTAGCATCAAATATATCAAAACAATGTAGAACCATTTAAGAGAATATCAGCATTACAGGGTATTTAGAATCAACTAACAGTAAATGAACAATGGTTTTTGTATAATCTCCTTGTCTATAAAAGTTTTTGCTTATACTATCATACATAATAAAATCCAATAAGATACAACCTGTTTAGACCAATGGAGACAGAAGAACAAAAGCTTGATGAGACTTCAAAACAAGATGATACTAAATCAGTATTACCTATTAAGACGTCATTTTCTCCAAAATAGCTGTTCCTATCATCCAATCTTCTCTGCCTCATTTCTGTTGAGCTCCTTTTCTGTCATTAGTTGTCAGTTTGTCTTCTTCATTTTGTTTTCTGCTCCATTCATTGTGGCCTCTCTGCCACTATTTCTGGATTCTTTGTATTTTTCTTTTTTAAAATATCCTGCAGTATTCTCTGTAGAGTTGAATTGGTGGTTGCATATTCCCCTAGTTCCTCTTTATCCTGGAAGCACCTTGTTTTTCCATCAATTTCCAGGGATAGTTGCGCAGGATATATCAATCTTGGCTGGAGATTATTATCTTTCAAAGCTTGAATTATTTCCCCCAAGCTCTTCATGATTTGATGGTTTGTGCAGAGAAACCTGCTGTAATTCTGATGGGTGTTCCCTTGTAAGTGATCTGTTTCTTGTCTCTGATGGCTTTTAATATTCTGTTCTTGTATTGAATTTCTGGAATTTTAATTATTATATGCCTGGGTATTGCTCTGTTTGGGTTGTAGATGGCTGGGGTCCTGTATGCTTCATACAACTGAGTATCTTTTCCTATTGCTAAATTAGGAAAATTCTCCTGGATTATTTCTGTGAGTAGCTTTTGTAGTTCATTTGTTTGCGTCCCTACTTCTTCTTTTATGTCCTTAATTCTTAAGTTATGGATCCTCTTATCATCTTCTAGTCTTTGTATTATTGCTGTTTGTTTCTTTGTTACTTTTAAGAAGTTTTTCATTTCATTCTCCCATATTACAAATCTGCCCTCCAGTTCAGATAGTCTGTCCTTAGTTTCTTTCAAGCTGTTATGCCAGTTTTCGATAGTTTTTAGTTTCCTGGTAGTCTCTTTGAACCTGCTTCACGTATTCTATGCTTTCTCTATTTTCTCCATTAAACAATTCTCCCCTCTTTTTTTGTTCTTCCATTCCACCATCTGTTTTCTCTTGGGTGGTGCTTAGCATTTCTCTAACTACTCTGCTTATTTCTAGCTTCAGGTCATTAATAACTTCATTCCTGAACTCATCTATGAGGCTCTCGAGATGGCGCTTTATTTCTATTGGTGCGGTGTCCGCTATTGCCTGTTTCTCAGGATTGGGGGCCGAAGGGCCTTTCTTGTTGCTCCCTCTTCCCATATTCTTTGTTCCTTATATATGTAAGCGTATATAGGAGGCCCAGCTTCCTTCCCTGTCAGCCACAGTCTGATTGAATTGCACCAGCTAGGTGTTCCCGCCCACCGCAGCACACCAGGAAGTTGCAGACCTGGCAGCCTATGCGGAGCCCGCCCCTCCGGGTCACCCTCAGGCGCTGGGATCTGGGTTGTGCTAGCCTGCTGGGTCTCAGCCAGCAGCATCACGTAGGCTAGGCACTTCTCACCAATCCCGCTTGAAAGGGGGATACGTGGCTGAAGTCACTGCAGCGTCCTATTCCCACAAGTCTGCCCAGTCCCAGAATGTCCTCTGTTGGAGTCTCCTAAACTGTGGAAGAGTCTCAGTTTCTCTCACTTACCTCACCACAAGTCAATGCACAGCTCCCCCCCCCCCCGTCCTGCTTTCAGAAAACTCCTTTCACCGATTCCCGTTCTCAGAGCTTCCGCACGTCTCTCTCCCTGCCAATGTAGACTCAGCCATCGTGTGGCGGGAAAGCCAAATCGCGGCTTCCAATGCCGCAGGCTCCAGCTTCCACACTGAGGCTTTTCTGTTCCTGTTATAGCACCAGGATTGCATTCCAAGTTGTTCTCAGCCCAGTTCGTTCTTGGGTCAGCAGGGCATAACTCCACTTACTTATGATTCCTTATTCCGCACCATTCCTGAATTCTAAGCTGGGTCTTTCAGAGAGTCTCCGTAGCTGCTGCTATCTGTCTGCCATGTTCTCCCGGAAGTCTTTCATTATTCATTAACAGTTCATGCCAACTGTGTTACAATTTGTATCTAAAAGCCCGCCCCCCCAAGCCAAATATGGTCAAAGGGGGGTGATTTTTTAAAGTGGCTGGATCTTGGGTGTTTAATACTGGTGAGGTAGGGGAAAAAACTCCCAACCTGCTAGACGCCTGGTATGAGTTCGTGTACCCTAGAATTGAAGAATGAATTTTAGGAACAGTGGAAGTTAAGAATAGAATATATTTATTGAAGAAAACAAATTTTCCAACCAAGAGAGAGACAGGAGGGGTCCTGAGTAGGTTTCCAAAGACCCTGCCATTTCTAGCATTTTTTATAAAGCAAATCTATGACCTGAGGTAGGCCTAAGGCGTGAAAAAATGGGAAATCACAAGGTGGGCATGAGGTGGGGCAAAACTATGGTCAACCAATAAGATTAAAAGTAAAGGTAAAGC